GGGGGCGGATAGGGGGTGGGGGCCAGGCTGTTTTGGGAGGCACAGCCTTCCCTACCCGGCCCTCCGTACAGTTGCGCAACCCTGATGTGGCCCTTGGGTCAAAAAGTTTGCCCACCCCTGTGCTAAGGGGCTGCTCGGGAGAGCAACAGGTAGGGTGACCGGACAGCAAGTGTGAAAAATTTGGGACAAGGTTGGGGGGTAATAGGAGCCTATATAAGAAAAAGACCCAAAAATTGGGACTGTCCCTATAAAATCGGGACATCTGGTCACCCTAGGAACAGGCTTTGCTCCTGGCTGCAGCTGGCAGCGTTTCCTCCTTGGCTGCAAAAGCAGGAACTGAAACCGCTTCCAAGGCCCTGAGCTGGCCAGCCCGCAGTGCCCATGCAGGGGCCGTGGAGGTGGGGGCTGTTCCTGGGGACTGGCTGGCCAAGCCGCGGCTACACTGAGCTTTGGAGCCCAGGGTGTTCTGAGAGCAGGGGAGAGAACCCAGGCGTCCTGCCCAGCCAGGCAGCAGAACAGGTGTGAGCGGGTGAGCACTGACTGCTGCGTTCCCTCTGCAGAGCTTCCCGCGGTGCCTGGGTGTGTAAGGGCCAGGCCGAACCGAGGGGATCCGGCGCACGTCAGGGCCTCCCCTGTGCCGGGCATGGAGCATTTCCCCGAGGGCAGCCGTCGCTCACCATGCCCCAGAGCAGGCGAGCTTCTGAGCAGCACGAGGGGCCTGTGGTTAGAGCCTGCGGCTAGGAGTCAGGCCATCCGGGGTCTCCCCAGGGAAGTGTTAGTGTGCAAGGCCAGGTGTGCAAAGGGAGGCACTGAGCAGCCTGCCCCCATCACCAGCAGTGCCAGGCTCCCGGGTCAGGGCCCAACTCACCACCCGGCAGCTGCCTGGGATGGCTGCTGGCCTCCTGCGGGGGCTGGGTTAGGCTCACGTACGCCCACGACAAGGCCGGGGAGAATTTCCTGAATGTTTTTCTGTTCGTTGTGATCACTGGCTTGGGGAGACAAATCAAACTGCCCCATGAACGCTCCGGGGGCCTGGCGACGTGGCCGTGCAGGGGAATTATGCCCGTTCGTGCCTTAAAACAATCCCCGAGCTGTGTGCCTGCACCGGGGCTCCCACCCCTTCGTTCCTCTCTATCCAGCTGACACCTGCCCCCTCTGGGGTCTCCCAACCCCTCCTGCTGCCCAGGGTTCCCCTCCCATCCCAGGGCTGGGCCCCCTGCCCTGCTCCTTGCTGGGGAAGGCGAAAGAGCAGAGGAGGAATAGGGAATCCAGGAAGTGCCCCATGGAGTCGAGGAGCTTCCTGTGAGCTTGGTCCCAGCCGATGGTTATTGTCTTTTGTTCCCAGCAGTGTGGGGCAAAGGCCCCGCATACAGAGCGGCTGTCTTCTCCTGCTGGGGAGGTACCGCGCTGGGCAAGGGGAGGAGGGTGACGGGACCACTGCAGTGCGAGCTGCTCTGGGTGTGGATCTGGGGGAGGGGGAGAGGCTGATCCACAGACACCTACTGTCCCCTTCCAGATGGGATCACAGCCCATTAGTCTGGGGAGCTGCTGAGAGCGTGGGGCATGGAACCTTCACGGCCAGCCTGTCGCCAGCTAGGGCTGGCGTTTAAAGGGGCAGCGTCCGCCTAGTGAAGCCCCCTGTCCTGCCCCCCCAGCCCCTCTACCCTGAGCCCCTGGGAAAGATTGTCCCCCCCGTTCCCCACCCGTTCCCTGGTGCTCCTCTCGCAGGGCAGGGCTGATGGGTGGGTGCTGAGGTAGCTGGGAGTGGGGGTGATGAGATGGCAGGGCTGTGGGTGGAGGCGTGGAAGGTGTTTGCCAGGAGTCAGTGAGGGTGGGGAGGAGCCCAGTGCAGCGAGTAGCCAGGGGCACTGTGGGAAGTGGCCGGTGGATCAGGAATGTCCCAATCCGCTCCCCTGGTTTAAACTCTGTCTGCCCTAGTGTGCCTGGGCTGCGCGGCCCCATGGCCCCGTACTGCTTCCGGCAGTACGAGGATGGTGACTACGAGGCTGTGCGCACCATGTTCGGACGTGGGATTATGGAGTACGCTCCTGCTGCGTTCATCTACATGCTGAAGTGTCCCCAGGCCCAGCTGCACTTCCTGGGCCTGTTCCTGGTGGTGCTCGCAGCCTCCGGGTCCCTCCTGGTCTCCCTCCTGGCTCTCCTGCTTGGTCTCACTGGGGCCTGGTTTTGCATCTGGTCTCTCTGGAACGATTACGCCCAGCAGTTTCTTCACAACAACCTACTGGACATCCGGAGAACCTACCTGGAGGCAGCAGACTCTTGTCTCTGGGTTGCAGAGGCTGAGGGGGCGGTGGTGGGCATGGTGGGGGCTGTCCTGCCGGACGACCCCTCGGAAAGGGGGCGCACCCTGGAACTGAAGCGCATGTCCGTGGGGAGGGAGCACCGGGGCCGGGGCATAGGCAGGGCGCTCTGCAGGACGGTCATCCGCTTCGCCCAAGAACGCGGGTACAGTGCGGTCGTGCTGTCCACCTCCATGGTTCACTACTCGGCCCAGCAGCTGTACGAGAGCATGGGCTTCCGGAGGGTCTCGCAGAGGTCCCCATCGCTCCTCGCCAGCTTCCTGCAGTTCTCCGTCTTCTATTACCGATACGAGGTTCCAGGGTCTCGCTGAAGGCTCAGGGGGGGCGATTCTTCCCCTGCCTGCTCAGCCGCTGGGAGCTTTGCCTGGCTTGTTAATTAACTCCCAGCAAGTTGCTACTTTTTTACCTTTTGGGTTAAAAAATAAACTGAGCTTGGAGGAAAAGTCTCGCACGCGTGACACTGTTCTTGTGCTGGTTTGGGATTATTGTTCCCCTAGGGGTTCCCCCTTCCCCAGAGCCACCTGGGTCCCCTGGATCTGAACTTCACCCCTGGAGTTGAACCGGCCGGGATCAGACTCACCCCCAATGCTCAGTGGTTTCTAGATGATCTCTGACCCCTAAAGAACCAGGCGACCCTGGCAAGGAAACCTGAGTTTTAAGGTCAAATTCTTCAGAGACCACAGAAACAGCATTTGCACACAGGACAATAGAGCTGGGCTCTGTGTAGCTTGCCTCTGAGTTTATAACACCAGGGTTAGCATTTGCTGTGGCATTTGGGGTTGCTGGC